TATTTATTTTGATTCCGCATTAAATTTATAATTTATCTCTTTTCAAATTTTCGGGTTTGTTACAATTTATATATTTGAAAAACTTAAATTAGATTTTTTATTAAAAATTTAAATAAAATTATATTATAATATTAAACAAAATTATTTAAAAATAAAAAATTGACACACATGAAATATATGATGATAGATTTTTATTAGATAATAATAACCAATTAAATGGTAACATTTAAGTATTAATGAACAACTAGTACTGCTGACATCATTTAGTTGTAAACAGGAGTTTTTGGTATTAGTTTCTTAAGATAAAATCACTAGCCCTCTGCACATAAATTTCCTTAAGTCTGACGTGTCAGGAAGTTGTTGGTAAAGTTGGCCTTCAGCGTTGACTCAGCACCGCAGGACGATCCGCACTACCTAAGCCGATAACATCAAAGGCTCGACCAGCAACCACTCGCCTACCTTCGTATGGACTTGCTTTGTTCTATTGACACGTGTGCATTTTAACGTCATTTTATATAAGTTTGTTCCCTTGAAGTTGAGCCATACACATGTCTGCTATATCCAGCGAGTGGGAAAACATTATGTACTAGAGCGAGTGATGGAACAATCCGTAGTACCATGAAAGAAGATGAGACGGCGCGAGGCCGCAAGCACAACCCGTGACCGAATACCACCAAACCAAACCGACCCGGTCCGACCCAAATGCCTCCTCTTTTTTGCCATTAAAAAAGAAATAGATTCGTCTTCATCTTTCAATTTCTTATCCACCCGTCCAAAGGGAAAAAAAAAAAAGAAACTAAAACGAAATGAAGCAAAAATTGTCTTCACTTTATAGTTCCTGTTGCTTCAAATTATCATGAAAAGACTCGCAAAATCACAAAAATTTATTTACTTGTTCTTCTGAAGAGGAAAATTTTTTGAATAAGTTGTGAGGCGGGGGAGTTTGATTCAATGGGGACGGGTGTGTCAAAGAACACGGAGGGATGTTTGCAGGGAGGAGAGGGGAGAGAGGAGGAGAGCCTTGACCAAGCAGGCGGTCAACTCTATGTGTCACTGAAGATGGAGAATTACAGGGTTAAAGGCGACCTTATTCCTCACGTTTATGGCTCTGTCCCTCTTGTTGGTTCCTGGGATTCTTCTAAAGCTGTAATTTCTGTTAATCACTAGTTTTGATAGCCGTTGGTTTTTATTATTTTGTTTTATATTTTTTAATATTTTTATTCGTTTTCTATTTTGTGACTATCGATAGCTTTCAATGCAACGTGAATCGGCGTCAATGTGGGAATTAAGCTTTGTTGTTCCTCCTAATCACGGTGCAGTCTCTATTGTTATATGTTATTTTGCTTATTTTTCCCTTTTCCAATTAGGATTTATGCTTTGTTTCTAAGAAGCTTGGACGGTTTAACATTTTGGAGGTGTTGCTATTTGCTTTCAAAATGATAGTTGATGGTGGTGTTGTTGTTGTTGTTTTTGTTGTCTTTTTCACTGTGTCCCACACTTGGGCTAGAAAATCACTGAATAAGAAAGTATATGTACTGGGTCTTACTTCAAGTACGGTTGTTATTTTGTGGAGTCTCAAACTGTAGACAGTCTGATTCTTTTGAACATTTATTAGGCATCTTTTATCTTTTTGAAGTTTTTATTGTATGATGTATGGATATATTTTGTGTTAAATGTAGAGACTTTGGATTTCAAGTTTCTTTTGAAGCCAAAGTACGGCAATATACCATGTATTGTTGAGGAAGGTCCAAACCGACAATTTACTGGGGGTACCTTGCAAGGGGATGCAAGGGTGGCACTCTTTAAGCTGGAAGGTGACGAGGTTCTTGAATATCGAGTATTCATAAAAGCAGATAGGGTTTCCCCATTTGACCTTGCTGCTAGTTGGAGAGCCTATCAAGAGAACTTCCAGCCTTCAACTGTTCGTGGAATTCCTGATGTTAGTATAAATTCTGTGCCTGCATCTGGTGCCGAGGTATGGTTGGTTTATTTAGTTGCTGTTATGTGGTTGATTCCTAAACTCTTTAGTCCTTCAGATTTATTTTAAGGCAGTCTTAACAGAATACAATCACCTCTAATAATTTTCATATTTTATTGCCTTAGTTGGAAATAGTTGTTGACTGAATAGTAGGTCAACGGTTTTAAATTGATTGTTAGGATGAACTCCCTAAAATATTTGATTTGTATGTGCAGAATGGCTCTTCAACTAGTTTGGAGCTTGACCTTGAACACTATGTTATCCCTGCTCCTGCAACTTCTGCAAACTCAGGTCTGGTTTATGCAGCTAATTTGACAGAGAATCCACGGTCATTAACCCGTGCTGGGGTTTTCTCAAACAATGATGGATCGGGCCCTATACTAAATACCTCCAAAGACAGTGGTATTACTGCTGATCGTCCTCCAACTATAAAGGTTATCTTAATAACCCATATTGCAGATTTGTGTGTCTGATTGTGTTACAAATTTTAAAAAGTTCTATAGATACTGTCCCATTGTGGCATATTGATGCAGGAACTTCTTACATTTGTAAATTGCAAAGTTTTCTGGGCTTAGTTTGATCAGCTCTTTTTTGATCTAGTGATTAATCCAAAATTTTGACTAAGACGATATTTGTATTTGGATAAAAAGAACCCTGTTTCATTGGGAGCTGATTATCATTATTCCTCATGACATATATATATATATATATATATATATATATATATTCCAAATTTAGAAGTCATAATCCTTCAAAATCTAATGCATCGTTTCCATTTTCCATAGGAGATGGAGGTCATCGTCCCTGATCCTTCAAAGATTTATCCAGGTTCAGGGACAGTTGAGTTGAAGTCAGTGGGAACTTTTTCACCTTTGCAAAAGCAAGATGGTCACAGGGGACTATTTGTGGATAGGGGTGTTGGATCTCCCAGGCTGGTTAAATCAGGAAGTTCAAGTACTTTTTCTGCTGATCTCAAATTGGATGAAGAAACTAAGGTTTGCATAAAATAGTAAAACAAAAATCTTGATGATTTATAATCTCTTCTGGTGGTTTTGATGTGTTCTCCTTTTCCTAGAATACAATGCCAGCAGCTGCAGGAGCTGTTGCAGCTGCGGCTGTAGCTGATCAGATGCTTGGACCGAAGGAGGATAGGCATTTAGCAATTGTTCTGGTAATAAATTAACAACACCAAATTGCTGATTAACCCAAAAATCATACCGTAGTTTAGTTGTTGAGTAGTTGACAATGGATTTCAAATATTTGCCCTGTATGCATAAGGCTTAAAGTTGGATACTATGGCTTGTTGCTTAGATTCAACACATTTTGTATCTTTATTAGTCAATTCTAATAAATTGTTTGTATATCAGGTTGGTTTGCCAGCTCGAGGAAAGACTTTTACTGCAGCAAAGCTAACAAGATACCTACGCTGGTTAGGGCACGGCACCAAGCACTTCAATGTCGGAAAGGTTATTTTAAATTCTCAGCATAATTATTTATGGTCCTTTGTGTATTTTTGGGGAAGAGATATAGTTGAAAATTACTGGTCTTTTTTTTTCTCTTATAACAGTATCGACGCCTTAAGCACGGAACTAATCAGGTAAGTATGAATTTATGAAGATCAAATTTATAGATTCTGTGCAGATTTGTTAGAAATGGTTTTGCTTTGACAATCTTCTGTAAAGTTTTTCTGATAAAGTAATAATTGCTATTGAAATTATCCATTAAGCATCTAGTTTATAGCTATTGCGAGGTGTGTGTGGAAAGAGCTCAATGGAATTACTCTGATCCTATGCCTAATCTAGGAAACTGATTCTGCAAATGCTTGCATAAGGAAAGAGGAGGGTTCTGGAAATTGTTAAGGATTAGGAATTTGCTACCTGGTGTTATGATGGCATTATGATGGTGTACTGAAGTCAAGGGAGCTGGTTTTGTTTTTGTCTTAAACCAAATGATTTATAATCGAAGCAGTCATTTTAAACAAACGGTTTCAGATGCAATTTTCTACGATTTTGTAGATATGGAAGTTCCAGATGTCCATGGTTTATCAGATCTTAAATGTGTTGCTTAGTAGGTCCACCATACTTTTATTTAGTTTCCTTAAAGATTGAGGATTCAAAACTTGAAAAAGGCTAAATGAATTGAATTAGAGGCTTGAGTAAGATGTAGCATATATGCTTATGCAGTGTCGTAGATGAAAGATGAGCATTAGAAATTTTTAATATTCATGTTTGCGGTTATTAGACATGCATGTACTTTCATAATTCTAATTTGAAAAGAAAAGGAGAATCTCAGCAAATGAATGATTTTGATGTCATAAAATGATCTATGGAAGCTGTGTTTGGCATACATTTTCACCTGATTGACTCGGTAATTAGTCCTCCTAGTATTTACTCAAAATCAAAATCATATTGCAAAGTGCTTCATAATTATTGGATGAAAGATAACTACATTTTCTGGTGCAGTCTGCTGATTTTTTCCGAGCTGACAATCCTGAAGGCATGGAGGCACGTAATGAGGTGAATGCTCTCCAAAGAATCATTGCTTTTTAGGTTGCCATTTTTTAGGAGTCTGTGTTTCTGTTGAGATAGTTAATTGGTCGCTAATCTGAGACTGGAAGGTCATGATAAGTTTTAAAATCTTATCCATCAGCCTAATCTGAGAAACATATGGAAGGATTAGATATTGGTATAAACCTGTGAAGGTCCTATAGGTTTATTGAATTCTTAAGATTTATTTATAATTCAAACCTATCATGAAAATTTGTTAAAAAAATAAATTTAGATCATGAAAAGGAGCAAGAAGCATAGTGGCAACAAAAGAGAAGCCATCGCAGAGGAGAATGGAGCTTATACACTGTTAGAGATGGTCACTTAGCGGTCCTTGCACTTCATTATTTTTAGACAAAAAACTTCAAATATAAAAAATTGCATGGTAATAGTAATAGAAACAGTATTTTATTTCTCATAGCTTCAATGAAACTACCATTACGAAGTTGCTATTGCTACTGAATTTGTGTTTTCTCGGGTGATTGGTGAATAATAACACCATATTAACCTTCTTTTTTGCACATAGTCTTAATATATCACATGCTACTAGGTAGCAGCCTTGGCAATGGATGATATGATAGCTTGGATGCAAGAAGGTGGCCAGGTAAGTTGTCTTTTAGTGAATATTCTATACTCTCTTGGCTTCTGCCTATATTTTCTGTTTTCACTCATCCTGATATGAATGTAGGTTGGAATATTTGATGCTACTAATAGTAGCAGGAAAAGAAGGAATATGCTAATGAAAATGGCTGAAGGAAAATGCAAGGTACCCTGAGTGTAGACCAAGAGGACAGCTACAAATTTCCTAGTGGCTTAATATGGTTATTAGCTGAAGCATGTGTTTGCACATTTTTAACATGTAAAAGAAAACTACGTAGTTTCTGTTTTACCTATGTATCTTTTGATGGGAAGGAGTTTTTATAAGCACATTGCGGGCATACTATATAGACATTACAGGTTTTACAGGGGTTAAGATTAAATGCTAATACATGTCTGGTATCCAAGTAAATCTGATGAAGTTATCGTATTGTCATATAATATTGTCCATTGAAAGTTGCTTCCTCTTTTATTGATGCACGCCTGCTCCTCTCTTAGTGTCTGTTTCTCTAGAAGGCTTACTTTTGAAACAAGTTTCCATGGAAGGAGATGATCATAATTTGACTAATATCAAGGAGCTTTGTCACTTTGACTTTTCTGATGCATTCTCCGCTTTTATCTGTAGATAATTTTTTTGGAAACGATCTGCAATGATGAGCGCATTATTGAAAGAAACATACGTCTAAAAATTCAGCAAAGCCCTGACTATGCAGAAGAGTATGCCTGCTCTTAAGAAAGTATTTTCTCATCAGAGTTTACTGCTGCCTTCTCATTAGTTTTTGTCTCTCTGCAGACCAGATTTTGAAGCTGGATTAAGAGATTTTAGAAACCGATTAGTCAACTATGAAAAGGTACATAAATTTTCACCTTTTATAATTATCATTGGCAAAGCTTTCACATTATAGAAGTTTAGTATGATTTGATGGTATATAAATATGTTCACCAGGTTTATGAGCCGGTGGAAGAAGGATCTTACATCAAAATGATTGATATGGTGAGCGGGCATGGGGGGCAAATACAGGTATGTCTAATGACCTTGATATACCTTAAGAAATATATAATTTACTTGAGTACTGCGTGCTTAAGGATTATTTAGGTGGTTACTGATGCTCGGTAATGTGAGTTGTCCTGTTTAGGAATCTGTTTTCTAATTACTTGAGAAACTGAATATGTATTATTGGTTCATTATGCCTCTGATATTTAATTGTTCTTTATAAAGTAAAACTATCTTTTATGTTGAGCTGGGTTGATCAATTTTTGTGTTTAAATCAGAGCCACACTATTTCAATTAAGCTTCTTTTAAGGAGTCTTTTACTCCTTAATGTAATACCGGGAGCAAAAATAGATATGAGAAAGTGACAGATGTGTCTATGAACCATTCCCGCCTCTTGAAAAATGGAAAAGTAAATGTAATAAAATAAAATAACAAATAAAAAAAGAACTTGAATATTTCTTACTTTAAGTGAAGAGAAAGCGAAGAACTTTGGTATTGTTAATAATTGAAGTTTCCTTCCAAGTTTAAAACTTCCTACTTGTTTTTGTGTTCCTCTCTTTGAGGTCAGTATGTTGGGTGTTCATGAATTTCTTTGACATTCTACTCTATGCAATTGGGTTCAGTTTCAAATTTGACTGTGTTCACCTGGATATTTGATATGTTTCAGGTTAACAACATAAGTGGCTATCTTCCTGGACGAATTGTGTTTTTCTTGGTAAGTTGCTAATGAGACTTTGTCCAGTTTTAGCTATCAAGATCATTACTATCTATGTATGCTCATCTTCCATTAATTATCAAGTTCATTTATATGCTCATCTCCCATTATGTATCAAGTTCATTTATATCATGATATCATAAGTAGTTAATGAAAACTTGGTATCATAACTATCTTTTGCTCATATATTCTAGAGCAGAGAGTAATCTGGAATGATGGATATGAGCAGAGGGAACCCTTTATAGGGTTCAAAATCTCTAATTCCAAATAGATATAAAAAATACATGCGTGGCAATGGAACTGATGTCTGAAGAACCAAAGAGAAGATGATATTATAATCTTAATGGTCTTGTAAAGATTATTACTGGCTAACACTTGCCAGAAGAGTGTTCCTGTGTGTCATAGCTTGTGAGAAATAAAACTAACAAAATGGTCATATACGAGCCAAAGCATGATTTAGGTATCGGGTCAATATAGGAATAATCCTTCCCTGTATGACATTTAAGTCCTTGTGCATTATATCATCCATTTCATTCTGAAATTTTTTGCAGGTGAATACACATCTCACGCCACGCCCAATATTACTTACCCGGCATGGAGAGAGTCGGGATAATGTTAGAGGCAGGATTGGTGGGGACAGTGTACTGAGGTCTGTTGTGAAGAGTCTATATAATGGATTGATTACATCCAAGAGTCAACACGAGAACAGCCTAGTGATGCTCGTTCTGTCTTATCTTTTTTGTTATCTGATCAAATACTTGATGATAAGAGATTTGGTTGAGTAAGACTCCGTACTTTACTGTCAATTTGGGTCACTGAGAACTTTTTACTGCTGTATACAGTGATGCTGGAGAAATTTATGCAAAGAAACTTTCTAACTTTATTGACAAGCGACTGAAATCTGAAAGGGCAGCTTCTGTAAGTTCCCCAATGTGTATGACATATCTTGTTTCTGTTCATTTTCTTCCCGTCCTATGGGGAAAAAGGAATATTTTGTTTACTTTTTCTTCTCTGGAGAACCAAAAGTAGTAGAAAGTTCATCTACTCCTGCATACCACTGACTCTCTGTTCATCAATCTTTTGTACTCGTAGGAGAGCCTGCATATAGCCTAGATATTGATGACTATGATCGTTCTCTACTTAAGAGGGGGTAACAGGCAATCTTTTGGTTTTGAAAACAACTGTGTTGATACCATTGACTCTTTGTAAAAGAAATAAATGATTATAGCTGATGAGCTCAAGTATAAGCAATTCTGCTAATCATTCTAGTCTTATAAAGAAGCTCTTGGCATTGTAAAACCAAATGGTATCACTGATGAGGTCAAATTTCTTCCTTTTTGAATGAACTTGAATGTTTGAGCTAGTGAAAGCATCCAGTTTCTAGCATTGGCTTCGACATTAAAAGAACATAAAATCCAGTGTTTCCAGCTATTACATTGCATGTTGATTGTACTGTATCAAATTTGATTGAGGTATTACTAGAAGAAAAATAATAACTTCCTTCCAAGATTTGGTGTATAAACTTAAGCATATGAATCTGGATAGTCAGATTTATTGTCTGAATCTTCTTGAGCTAGATATCATTGGAGAATCAGTGAACTTAATAGTTGTGAAGTACTAAACTTATGGCTTTGATGGTCTAGATATGGACTAGCACACTGCAAAGAACAATTCTGACGGCAGGTCCAATTGTTGGATTTCCCAAGGTTAGTCAAATATCTGTGAATTTTCTTTTGTTTTCTTCCTTCTGCATTTCATCCATTTATTGTTTTTGGTCAAAGTTTTTAACCTAAATATTACTTTTTAAAATAGAAGTACTACGTCTTTTTTATTTATGGTAGATACAATGGCGTGCGCTTGATGAATAAATGCTGGAGTTTGTGATGGAATGACATATGAAGAAATTAAAAAAAACATGCCTGATGAGTACGAGTAAGTTCTTTTTCCCTTTTGGTCCCTCTTGAAGTATG